TTCAAAATCTCAACTCCCAGAAGGAGTTAGTTATTTGCTTCAGGCTCCGACTGTCGACTCACCCAAAATATGATTTTTTATTTTATGCATGTATGTATATTTTATAAATTGTTTTTTTTATTTTCATATATGGAATTTATCATTTTAATCCTTTACTAAAAGCCAAGACATGATCACCCTGCTACTGGCAACATGTAACTCAGTGCATCCTGTTTTATGTTCTTCTACCTTGCTGGATTTGCTTTCTAAGCAAAGGGTGGAAGGAGATTGCTTCCTGTCATCAATACTATCGGTCTTGCCTATTGTATAATATATACTTAAATTGGTCATGCCTATAGTAACACATGCATATATATCTTTTATATAGTTTGAGGTGCCTTAGTTACTGTTTTAGCTCACCCGCAATCTATATATATATATATATATATATATATATATATATATATATATATATATATATATATATATATATATATATATATATACATATATACATATAAGTCACATGCTTGGCTTAGGGGTATACACACGCATCAGTTCACCTATTTGTCGTGAAATCAGGTTCGAACCCTTTGACTATTCCTTTATGTGCTTCCGCTTAGCATCTCTTTACTCTACCATATTTCTCTTTGTTCTTTATTGTTCTCCTTCTTCCCAAGGCTGCACTCTTTTAGATATAATTTCTGATAAAATTGATCATGCTCTCTCTCTCACTTTCTCTCTTTACTCTCTGCCAATATTGTTGTTATTTGTGACTTTAATGCTCATCACACTAGCTGGCACTAAAACCTATAACTTCTGTATTTCTCAATTTTTTACACAGATTACACAATTACACTACACAGTTAACTTTGTGACTCATTTTCCTGACAGCCCTAATCATTTACTCCTTGATTTATATCTGGTCTCTGATCCTAGCTTGTGTTCAGTTTCTCCTTTTTCTCCCTTAGGTTGATCTGACCATGCAATAATCTCTTTAAATCTTTAAATCTCATAACTCAATTACGGACTCACCCTACCATAATCATATACCTATGATTGCACTACTTACTACTACCCTAGAGCTGACTTGGACTCTTTTCGTGATTTTCTTTGTGACGGTCTTTGGGCTGAAGTCTTTTCCCTCACAGCTGAAAAATGCGCCTCCTGCGTAACCTCCTGGATTCCTTGGAACCTCGTCGGTTCCAAGTCAAGCCTCATCCTACTCCATGGTTTTCACCCTCTTGTGCAGCTGCTATATCTAATCGTAATCAATTGTCTCATTTTTTTAAAAATAACAACTCTCTTGAGAACAAACAGCTATTTATTATTGCAAGAAATCCATGTAAAAAGGTGCTGTCAGATGCTATTATTATCAGTTCACTAAATCTCGTATCTTTTTTTATTTATTTATTATTTTTTTATTTACAATTATTAATCGTAATATAACAATATAAGAATATATAAACTTGATATCTAAAAGAAGATCCGAAAGATCTTGTTGCCAGAACCATATAAAATATATCAAACGTGTATATATATTAAAATAAAAATGCAATTGATTTAATAACTATTAACAATGTAGAATAAACAAAGACTGAAGATAGTTTTACAAATTATCCAGAGTGAAAATAATTTTACATTTCAAAAAAATTTATACATACTGCCAGTAAAAAGAATATAGTTTTTTAATTTAGTTTTAAAAACAGAAAACGAATTGACAAATCAAAATTAGGAACAACAACTTTGTTCCATAATTACGGTGCTCGATAGTTTATGCAAAATTGATTAAATTTTGTTTGAAAAAAGGGTTCAATTAATAAATTATTATTTCGTAAAGTATATTTGCTTATAGTTTTACAGGTAAAAAGATCTTTAAAAGGGAACAATGGTTTTTCACTTTTACAACGAAACATAAAACATAAAATACTATAGACATTGAGTTCGTAAACGTTAAGTGCTTTAACGTTTTTAAATAAAATATCTGAATAAGAAAAATGATTTTCAAAACATATTAAATGCATTACGTATTTCTGGCGATGATAGAGATTTCGTAATTTACTTTTAGAGGTACTTCCCAAAACAATATTTGCATAATTATGTAGCTATGAATAAATGAGTAGTAGAGTTGAATTAAATTTTGTTTACTTTCAATACTTTTAACCAATTTAGTAAAAAAAAAGTCAATATGATACTTCCATTTAATATTTTCATCGATGTAAATGCCTAAAAATCTAGTGACCCACCCCTTTTTTATTTCAATTTTATAAATAAAAGGTAAATTATTTGGTAAAAAACGCTCCTTTGCGAGGGAGTGGCAAAGGATCCATTTTGTTTTATCAGTGTTTAAAGTTAACCTGTTGCACTTAAATCAGTTTGAAATGTGATTGAGTTCTTTATTCATATTTGAAAAAAGCTCATAAATGTCATTGTTTGACAGAAATAAATTAGCATCGTCTGCAAACATGATACTCATAAGGTTAGAAGCTTTGTTTTAAATCATTTAAATAGACTAAAAGCAAAAGTGGGCCTAGAACTCATTTTATGTAAATTAACTTTTCATTTTGAAAATAATTTCCATAGAAAACAAATTGTTTTCTTTTTGTCAAGTAACTTTTATACCATTTTATTAATTTGCCATTAATTCCGTAAAACTTGAGTTTTTTAAGTATAACTTTGTGATCGACTGTGTCGAATGCTTTTGATACGTCAATAAAAATACCTAGTGTGTATTGTGATCTACCAAATGATTTTACGAACTCGGTGCAAGCGATAAGGCGATTTACAAATTATTTGAATTCTTTAATTTGGAATTAGCATAGTTTTATCAGCGTATTATGTCCAAACAAGAGGTTTAAATAATACAATTTTTTTTTTGCTTTAGATTTTTTTAATATATAAAGAAACTTTTATTTTTTTAATATAATTTTCAAAACCTTTCTATAACCCGTAATAGTGAATCTAAAGAACACCATTTTGGAGTCTTTAGATCAATTCCTTTCATCGGCGTTAATATGAATTTAGTTAAAATCTTTTGAAAAAGTTCCTTAATTTATTACTGATCGTAGTTCTAATCGGTTCTGACGTATATTAACTATAAATAATTGTAAAAACACAATATTTCTATCAATTTTCACAAAAAATACTAGAATTGCGACCAAGAAAGAGCTTATAATTAAGAAAAATTGCCAATAAACGATCAGAACTAATCATATTGCTTAACTCTGTTCATTTCACCTAAAAATTATTTATTTAAAATCTTTTTCATTTAAAATAATTATTTATTTAAAATCTTATTAAAATTTCAACAAGCGATTGTGATTTCAAAAGGATTTTTTTTTTTAATATCTGGGTTTTTTCGCTATAAACATTTATATTTTATGATATCGCAAAATTTGTCATTTTAACTTTTTTTGTCTTTTCATAGTTCACAGACCTGATCATTTAACGGAAATATGTCGTAGTCAACAAAATATCATACAGACGCTATAATATTTTAGAACTTAACTACACCGAAAATGAACTGTGTAATGGCTTGTTCAATTTTTTAAAAACCGAATTGATTTTTATAAAGAAGTTTATTTAGATTAAGGTATGTTCTACTGTATAAAATTCTTTCTAAAATTTTCGAGAAGGTTGAAAGAACTGAGATAATTACTAATATTTGATTTTTTTTTCCGTTTTTATAAATTGGAGTAACTTTTGCTATTTTTAATTGGTCGGGGAATACACCTTGCTATATAAATGCCCTGAAGACTTTATAAAGAATACATTAAAAATTATCAAAGCAAACTATGTTGCCATTTATTTCGTCCGCACCCGTACCTATGTATCTTATCTGTTTTTGAGAATTTTGAGACTTTCGAAAACCTTCAACAGCGTTTAGGCCTTCCTTCATTAACACAAAGGAAGGCCTAACATTCTATCTTTCATTCATGGGACTGATCTTAATACCTCCTCCAAGGATAAGGTTGAACTATTTGCAAAGAACTTTTCTTCTAATTCGACTCTCGAATCTTATGGCCATTCTCTTCTTTTAATTCCAATTAAACAGGTTAACTCATTGTTAGACATTCAAACTAACCTAGTTTCCATTGCTAAAGTCATATCTCGATTAAGGGTGGAATGCAAGAAGCAAACTTGAGTCAAGTTCGACTTGAACTTTACTTTGTAACCAATAGCGGCAGAGTATTTTTTGTGGGGAAAACCCATACTCTGTCGCTATTGGTTGGAATGTAAAGTTCAAGTCGAGCTTGACTCAAGTTCGCTTTTTGCATCCCACCCTTAACTCTTCTACGGCTTGTGGTCCAGACAACATTTCTGTTACAGTCTTACAAAATTGTTCTCCAGAACTCTCTTCAATTTTCTCTTAACTATTTAATAAGTGCTTGACTAAGTCTTGTTTTCCTGCCTGCTGGAAAATGGCATCCGTTGTTCCAATTTTCATAAACTCTGGCGAACATTCTGACCCCTCCAATTATCGTCCAATCAGTCTTCTTTTTGTTATAAGCAAGGTTTTTGTCTTTGCAAACAAATTTTTGACACCCCATCTTGTGTCAAATAACTTGCTGCCAGACAATCAATACTATAATATAATTTTAATAGAGTTTTAAATTCCCTATAAATATACTAATTTGTTTCAATTGCATGATTATGAATAGCATACAATAAATTGATTTAAACTTTGTCTCATTTTTTAGTCATCAGGTGTTATTGATGACTTCATCCTTTAGAGTAATAAAAGGCTTTCCAATATTAATATTTTTTGTAGTTATTTAGGTGCTCCCAGAAGTCTTTACAGTCTTATCACAGAGCACTGCGAGAGAGCATTTAACTGAAGTTTCACGCTTCCTTCCGTGCCAATGTCGCTTGTTGGGCTAGATCCGGCGTCGAACCTCTGAGTTCTGGGCCAGAACTCTAACCGCTGCGCCAATTTTCCAAATCACTCAAAATCAAAAGTAGCTATAATAAAATTTCGGTTTACTCCACCCCACCCTATTGTTTATATCAAAAAAGAAATATACTATGGATATTACGGTTAAAAAAATTTAATTTTACAAGAAATGTTATTTTTTGGATAGCAACTTATGCAAAATTTCACAACCCTTTGAAAGTTCAGAGTTTTTATTTTTCTTTACAAATCCCATGTCTTCTTTTACGCGTGTTATGACTGCCTTGATACCCGTTTCAAGTAAACTAAAAATAAAAAACTTTGTAAACAAAAAAACTTTGAACATTTTAGTATAAACAAAAACTACAAAAAATCAATTTCTATGTTTACATGAACTCACGTCACAATTTTTCAAGTAGTTAAGGTAAACAAGATGTATGTATGCATAAGTTAAAGTATCAAACAACCTGTATGCATACGTTTTCAAAACTTGTAAGTATTTCTATAATCTATGAGTTAGGTAAAAAAAACAACTGAGCAACCAGCTTTAATACATCATAAATACTAAATAACTAACAAGCTTTCATGCATCATAAATACTGACGAACAAGCTTTCATGGTTATTGTTTTTCGCAAAAAAGCAAAAAAACATTTTTTTAAAAGAATAAAAAAAAACAGTAGATACTAATGATAATAAATGAACTAAACAATGTGAACTGGTTTTACAGAAAAAAAGTATATTTTAATAATTCTACTAAAAACCTTAAAAAATATCTTCTACAAATACAAAAAGTTGATGTATTGTTTAAATAGAGTTAACACCATTAGACAGTAACGAACACCTCTTTTCCCAAATATAATTTTAAGTTACGAAAACTTAATTTCCGAAAAAAATCTTTTCAAAGAAAAAGCCCTTCAATTGCAAATATAAAAACATTAATACAATACAAATTCAAACCATCAAGAGAAGTTCATAAAACTATTTATTTAATAAAATTTTATGTGTATAGTATTCAACTGACATAAGTCACACAAGTTTAATGAAAATTTTCCCTAATTTTTCAAAATTTAAATCGATTTCCCTGATTATCTTCAATTTTCTGCAGACATCCGAATTCCCTGACTTTCCCTGATCTGGCAAACACCATGTACAATACAACAAGTATGGACTTAATGCACTAAAATATATACACACACACACACCAAAAACAGATTTTGACTATGCAAAAAAACAGATATAAAGTAAGTAAGAGACAAAACTAAAATAAGAAAAAGAAGAAGAAGAAGAAGAAGAAAAAAAAAACAAACAAACAAGAAAGAGTTCTAAATTTTTAAAATTTTAAAAGTTATATATAAAATAAATATAGAATAAACTTTCAACAAAAAAATTTTTTAAAGTCTTTCAACTAAATCTGTTTTAGCCAAATCTAAAACAAACTAATTAACCTTTTAATATCTAAAACAAAATAACCTTTCGATATCTAAAACAAACTAATCAACCTTTTGATAACGAAAAAAACTTATCGACCTTTCGATATCTAAAACAAAGTAATCAACTTTTCGCTAACTTAAAATAAACGAACTAACCTCACAAGAATGAATGCTCCTCGATTATGAACTGCCCAATCTGCAAAGCAGCCTTGAGGAACTGCTTTACATAGAATATTTGAAAACAAAATTTTGCTATCTAAAAAATATTTAAAATTAAAAAACAAACACGACATATAATCAAGAAAAAAAAAGTTCAATAAAAATAATGTATAAAAAAAAACTTTGAAAATAAAAAAAGGTTTCAGTTCAAATCTTACCTCTTTCGATTCTCTGTAGATCCTGTTTAATTATAGTTTTCAATACAAAATGTGCACATTCATTAGTCACCAGTTCTTCATTCTCATTATTCTAAAATTAAAATCATTCAAATTTGTATAAAAACAATCAACACATAAAAAAATCAAACAAATAGATTAAAATAGATTTTTTAAATACTTTATACAAAACAAACAACCTTTTTAGATGAACCTCCAAACATGGCTGCAATTTCATTTAACAGTTTTTCATATTGAGGGAGATCTATACCAAATTGAAAACGATAGATAAAAAAATTATATATATATATATATATATATATATATATATATATATATATATATATATATATATATATATATATATATATATAACAGAAATATAACTTCATTACTTACCATTAGAAACCTCTAATGCAGCCAGAAGAACTATAGCAGCACTTTTATTAATCACAATTTTATTAATATAAGTCGACATAACATCTAACACGTGTGTCAAAATTCCTTGTCTTAATTCTTCTTGTTTTATTTTGGCTTCTTTTTTACTAAAAAATATGTTTGATATTTGAAGAATATTGTAAATGTTTAACATAAAAATCATTTATATCACTATGATCGTTTGAAGTTTAGATGATTTTAAATTAAATTTTCTCAGAAGCCATCTAATTTTTATGATTTTTTTAAAATGATGCAAACATAAATATTTTTTTGTGCCTGGGATTAGTTTTTGCAGTGTTAAGAATAAAGTCTGAAAACCGAAATAATATTTTGAAATTTTATAGAGAAAATCCATTGTGCTTATATTAAATAATTTCAAATAGATGCAACGTTTCAAAATCAACAGTTGGAATTGCCGTAAAACTTTATAAGTAGAACAAAACTATAAACAAACAGGGAAGCGGTGGAAAATCAACATTTAATGACAAAAAGAAGGTGAAATCAATAGTTGACTCGATTCATCAATATTTAACTTATTGAATGTTGTCAACTAAGTTACAACAAAATTTAACTTATGCAGTCTTTCATACAAAGATATTGAAAGACATAAAAGATATTCGCAAAGCTTATCACAAGAATAAAATACAAAAAAAGATCACTTGATGGAAAATTGAAGGCAATTAAACAAGCCAAAAATTTGGTTAAATTATTGACAAAAAAAATTGCGCATTTTAGACATTGAAACTTTCTGTAAAAAGAACCACTTGATAACTAACTAATTATGTCTTAAAAGTGAGAATTTTTGTTGTTGTTGATGAACCTAAATATATACAAACCATTTTAAAAGTTGAATTGATTAATCAGTTTTTGAGAAAATGCAATTTAAAATCAACTAAGTTTAAATAAAACTCTTGAAATGAAATGAAAGAAAACAGGTAATAAATCTAATATTGTCGATAAATCTACTTATTGCCTTCGGTAACTTGATCACTAGATTAAAACCTGATCAAAATTATAAAATAAAAGAAATTGGAACAACCTTGTTAAATCAATGCAAAAATATGTGTGACTTGTGAAAAGTTAAAATGTGTTCAGCTTGCGAAAAGACCATATATGTGTATAGCTTGTGAAAAGAATATAGGGAGTACTTTAAACACTAGCTTTGTTAACCAGCTTCGCACCCTTCATCATCTATTATGCTAGGTAGATGTATTTATAATACATTGTTTCCAGTTTAGGATGTTGAATGCTGAATCTTCTTGACTCATTGTATGGAATTTTACTTGTGTTTTTATGACTAGGCAACTCATTCTATTATCTCCTAATGAGGGTAAAGCTCGAAAACTCTTCATACTTTTGGTGTGCATTGACAAGGCCACATTTGGAGCCCTTTTTTATGACCTAGAGTTTATTAGTAGTAGTAAGGCAATTGCTTGGACTATTAAATAGTATACCGAGTACTACCTGTGTTTTGAGTCAAGTTCTTTAACAAATCCAAAAATGGCTAAAGTACCAAAAACTATAAAACATTGTCACCGCCAAGTTCTCTAAATCTATCATTCACTAATCTTCGTAGTAACTTTTCTTCTGTTAAGTCTTATCTCTTGCAAAGTTCACCAGACCTACTTGCTCTTTGTGACTAATTTGAGTTCCGCTATCTCATCTTGTGATTTTAGTGTTGATAGTTATCTTCCTTTAATTCATAGACTCCAATAGTCACATGCTTGGCCTGGGCATCTACATTCGTAAGAACTTGCCCATTTGTCAGGAAACTAGGTTTGAACCCACAGACTATTCTTTTATGTGCTTTCATTTAGCACCACTTCACTCTATTGCCTTTCTCTTTGTTTTATATAGCTCTCCTTCATCTCAAGACTGCACTCTTTTCAATATTATTTCTGATCAAATTGAGCAATTTTTTATCCTCTTTCTTTTTATCCTTTAGCCATTATCGTTGTTGTTGGAGACTTGCTTATCACACTGAATGACTTGGTTCTAGTGTCAGTGTCTCAGGTTGCAGGGATTAAGGCCCACAACTTTTGCCTTTCAATCTCTAACACAAATAATCAACTTTTCAACTCACTTTCCAGTCAATCCATATCATTTACCTTCTCTACTTGACTTCTTGCTTCTGATCCTAGTCAGTGCTCAGTTTCTCCACATTCACTCTTCCATGCTTCTAATCACAGTTTGATCTCTCTAAAACTATCATCTTATTCGTCTTTATCACCAGAATCCCCCTATAATCGTACCTATTACAACTACCATAAAGCTTACTGGGACACTTTTTGTGATTTTCTTTGTGATAACCCTTAGATAGAAATCTTTCATTTTCCTGCTGACAAACAGCTTCATATGTAAATTCTTGTATTCAGGCTGGCATGGAATCTTTTATTTTATTCCCTCTTGACAATTCCAAGCCTCACTCTTCTCCATGGTTTTCCTCTCATTGTGCTGCTGCAACTTCGAATTGTAACAACTTTCATATCTATCACCAATACAATTCTCCAAAAAAAAGATGCCTGTTTACTATTGCTAGAAACCATTGTAAAAAGGTTTTGTCTAATGTCAAAGCCCGCTATTCTCAGGTACAAAAATCTTGTATTTCATTTCAAAAAATAAGCTCCCAAGCTTTCTGAAGAATTTTTAACAGTGTCTATTATTATGTAATAAGGGCAAATCTGTTATTCCACCTCTACTGCATAGTTCAGATTTTGTTACCTCTCCTAAAAATAAAGGTGAATTGTTTGCTAAGAACTTCTCATCAATCTTATCTTTTGATTTCATTAATAACATCCTACGTGATATAGTTTACAAACAGGTTGATTTACTGCTTGACATTTGTATCACTATAGTTTCTGTATCGAAAGTGATTTCCTGCTTAGACTCTTCTACAGCTTGTGGTCTGGACAACATACCTGTCTTGCAGAAGTGTTCTCTGGAGCTGTTGTCTTTACTTTCAAAACTATTTAACAAGTGTTTATCAGAGTGTTGTTTTCCAACCTGCTGGAAAGCAGCATCTGTTATCCCTATTCTCAAAAATTCTGGAGAGTGATCTGACTCATCTAATTATTGTCCCATTAGTTTTCTTACTATCACAATAATAATAATGAAGTGACATGTTATTCCAATATATGAATGCATGCACCTGTTAGATCATAAATCAAATGTTAAACAACTTAATCATTGTAGCAAGAAAGCATTTTATAGTTTGAAAAAATATATATATATAATATTGCATAAATAATAAACTTTTTACTATCTACATACCTATAAGGGTTATTATCGCCTTCCTGTAAGATTTTTAAAAGATCAGGTGAAAAGTATGACTTTGAACGTGGCTTAAGTAAATATAAAATCACTTTACGCCCCCATGAGTCCTCAATTAATTCTTGTAGATTAGCTATTATTTCCTATAAGTACAACATACACTTTGTACATAAATGATGTATATTGTTCATAAAATTATTCATCAAGAACTAAGTAAAATAAACAAAAGTATGATGAGTACTAAAATTAGTTTTTTGTTTATTTAAAAGTTTTAAAAATATTTACTGGAAAAATAGCTTTTTTGACAAGAACTGTGTCATCGACTGTATCAAATAATGCAAGCATAACCATGTGACCATATTCCTCCTAAAATAGAAATATATATAAGAAAAAGAAAAAAACATGCAAATATTGAAAATAAGTTGACTTTTTTATTTTTATCTATTTATAAAAATAATAGAAAAAGTGAGAAAAAATAAATTAAAGTTAAATAAATAAATAATATTAACAACAAATGTGCAAATAAAAACAAGTGCAATGCAAAAGCATGTTGTGAATTATTAAAAAAAAAAAATTGATAACAATTTAAAATTTTTCCAAAGAATTATTTTTGAATTTTATTACCTTAAGAATTAATTTAATTATCTCAAGGGTATTTGATTTTCTCACTAATTTTAATATCTCAAAGGTATTTCATTACCTCACTAATTTCATGGATTTTCTAGAATAAGAAGATTTTAAAACTTGTTTAAAATTTTAAACAAATTTTAACCCTCATTGATAATGCAGGCTTGGTCGGGAAGCGGGTGCGATCGCACTCGATAATTGACCACGGAAATTATATTTACTTGCGAAAAGCCGGCCAGATTTTTCAGGCGTTTTGAGAACATTTCAGTTTATGTATGTTTCCTTGTTTGTCCGCAAAATAATAAGTTCATTTTATCGTAAATTTGTAAGATTTTTTTTTACGGACGTACATGGAAACTTATATAAACTTGAATGTTGTCAAACATCTTAGTGCGGAAAAATAAATAAAGAATATTCGCGAACACAAAAAACCCGCCAAATTTACAAACAACTAATTCTATTAGTTCAATTAATAAATAACTGAAATTACTACGCGACTGTTCTAGAGTATTCTGTTGAATTATTTTTCAAAATCTTTTTTGTTTTGTTTTTGTTTTTGTTATTTTTTCGTTGAGAATTCTAGCATCAATTGTTTTAAGAATATACTATCAAACGAACAATTATTTTAATACAATGGCTCATTCTCGGAGTCACATCCATAAAGCTATAAATGTTTTAAACTAACATTTGTTTACAAAAATAAATGTTTTAAATTTATATTTTTTAACTTGTCAACGTTTTGTAAATATATTATAGATTTAATTAGTATTATCTTGTTTTTTATATATAAGGGATGTATTTATATGTATGTAATGTATTAGAAATTGGTTTATTAACTTCAATTATTTTTGCTTCAGCCATTCTTACAAACTCGTTATACTTACACTTGAAGTTTTTTTTTTCTGTAAAATACTAGTTAAAGATATAAAGCCCACTCACTAAACATCATCAGCGATATTGTTAAGCAGTTCCGCTTCCTCCTTACAAAGTAATTTAACGTTTTTAGTTAATTTCTATCTAGCTTATTAAATTTCCACAGTAACTCAATGATTTAGTTATTTCATTTGTTCATCTTACTAAGAAGAATTGTTTCAAATATGTTAAACTTTTCAAACTACGCGAAGCATAAAACAGGTACTGAAAAAACTTTTTTTATTTATAATTAAATTATGTATTAATCTTGTTGGACTTTACAGGGCCGGGGGCTGCATTATTTTGGTGGCCTTTTTTATGTGCGACATCGTAAAAATGACTTAAAAATACCGATAGGTCCTCTTGACTATTTCTCAGCCCATAACATTGTGTGTCCCGGGACTATAGCTCTTCTACCCCCCCCCACCTCTTATTTCCAGCACTGGAAATAAGACATAGGAATATAAATAAAAATTATATATAATCTTTGATAAATTGAAGAACATTTGTTTCTTTATTAAACAATCATTATTAGTACGTTGTTACTATATACAAAAAATGTCGCTTTTTTTTAAAAAAAAAATTATAAAAGAGCGACGTTTCAAAAATATTTTGAAACTCTAATCGTATTTATTTTGCTTAAAGTTTTGCGTTAAAAGCTATTTTTCTTTTTTTTAACTGTCTCTCATCGGTCCAGTTTATCTTATTGCGCTTTTTTGCTTGTTTTTGAAATGTTCTCAAAACGCCTGAAAAATCTGGCCGGCTTTTCGCAACTAAATATAATTTCCGTGGTCAAATATCGAGTGCGATCGCACCCGGTTCCCGACCAAGCCTGATAATGTATACAATTACACACACAAACATATAGAAACAAAATCTTTTACCTTGCAAATTTTTAAAACATAGGTCTTGAAAGACTTTATAATTGCTTTTCTGTCCTGCAATATAAAAACAATAATGATCATCATCATAATTATCATTATGATGATGATCATTGTAATAATCACTATCATTATCAATTTTGAAAATAGAAGTTAAGTGCCGATTGCAATAAGCTAATAAAAATGATTCAAAAAGATTTATTTTTTCTGCTATGTTTGCACTGCTAAGCATATTTGAAATTGTCATGGATTTAGTAGTCATTAATTCTAAAAGACTTCTTTTAGAATTAATGACACTTAAACCACTCTCTTAACATCCATAAAGTCATATTTTATTAGTCTGGAGTTAAATAACAACTTACCAGATCAAATTGCAAAATTGATCTGACTTTTTAACAATTTACCAGATCAAATTGCAAAATTGATCTGACCAAAAATTTGGCTAAACTTCACTAGTTACATGAAACAAAACTTAAACTTCAGATTGCATCAAAAAAATTAGTTTTTTGTTAGAATATTTGAAATTTTTTTTTAGATATCTTATCAAGTTTTGTTTTAAGAACTTATTTGATTATTGGCGAGTTAATTGCTTTTCATACCTATTGAATTTTACACAATTGATCTAATGATGCATATAATTGACTGCAAAAAAAAAAATCGTACGTTGACAAAATATGTAGTTATTTTAGCATAAATTGAGCAAATTGAACGATTAAACTAGTTAGTAAAATTAAAAATAGTAATTTTTTAAATACACTTTTGTTCTAGAAATAAAATATAGTGTTTCGGCAAAATAGCATCAAGAAAAAATTGTGATCATTGCGTTGCATAAATAGTTATAAATATATTCTTTGTGGCTGGTGCGCCCCGACCTCTACCAATGTACACCACAATGACAAAACTAACATTAAGCTATCCTGCTGGATGTTACAGCGCTCAATAACCTAATGAATGCGCTGACACTCACACACACATTCATTCAGAAGCTCCTCAATGATCAACGCTGACTATGTGCTCAGATCTAAAATCTCATTTCATCATTCACATCATTCCACATCATTCCACATCAGTATAGCTTTTCACACCAGTATGGGGTCTGTATAGCTGATTTGGTCATAAGTGATGGCATGTGGCCTATGGTGACTAATGTGTGCATTTGATCAATGGAAATCCACTCTGAAGGTGTAAAGTCTGGCTCTGATGTGCTAGCCCATAAGCGCAAGAAGTGAGTGTGTTTAGCTTTCTATTCATTAGATTTAAAAGTGGACAAAAACATAACTAGAGAATATCAGATGACCTAACAGACCTACTAATGCACTACATCATTACACCTGTAGACATCAACAGTCTTTTATCAATTAAACACAAATTTATTCCTTTTTTACATCTTTTCAGAACCTTTGTCTTACCTCATTCTTTAATATCTTTTATGATTTTATACCTTGTTTATATAATTCCATGTACTTATGAGAAGCATATTTTGGATTTTATCATTTATTATCATATTTTATATCATTATGAGGTAGAATCTGGCCCTTTAGCGATATCTAAATCCGGGCTACTTACCACTCCCAGAGTTATTTAATGGTTAATGACCACAATACATACGATTTCGACATGCTTATTAGTTTATTAATTTTTGGGTCACCCAAAGAGGATGGGCAAATATCTATATAGACCTTACCAGATGATCTAACACAACAAACATGTACACCATACTATCACAACTGTAGACCTTTACTCTAATACCATTTAACTGGCACACCTCACCAACTATTATATTTTTCTTTTTTTTTTCTTTTTGTCTTATATTATTTTACTTAGATATTTATTCTTGCAATTTTCTTCGCAGTTCTTGTAGCTTAGTGGATAGTGTGCTGCCTACTGTGTTAGCAATTCCAGGTTTGATAAGCTGATTATATTCATAATTAAGGGTTACAACAAAGCATATTATCTCAATATGTATATATATATAAGAAATATGTATATTCATTTTAAGGACAATAAAGGACCACCCCAACTGATTCTGATAAAAAGGGATATAAATAAAGTTTGGAACCCTCCTGCATCCAATAACGCAAATTTAAATCTTTTCTTTGAAAGGATTGAATGAGAAACAATCATGGTGCTAAATGAGAGGAAAAAGATAACACACCCCAACCTAACACAAGATATGAAAAAAGCCATCACATCACTGAAAAATTTAAACAATTATAATATCAAACAAGCCGATAATTATAATAAACAATTATAATATCAAAAGTGGTACATCTTAAACAGGAGGGATTATAAAGAAAAAATTAACACTACATATAAACTTCTACAATATGACCCCACTGTAGAAATGGCATGGAACATTATAATGAAGATTGACTACATCTTATTCAATGGAGTGATTGAAGAGAAGACAGCAAAATATAAACACCCCTTGTCCCTCTCCTCTGTTCTATGGACTCCCTAAAACTATGCAAACCTGAAATTTCTCTTTGACCTATTGTATCTGCTTGCTTAACATGACCTGAGACTATACAACCTTCAGCATATATACACACACACACATATATATATATATATATATATATATATATATATATATATATATATATATATATATATATACATATATATATATATATATATATATATATATATATATATATATATATATATATATATATATATATATATTACTTTTAAAAATAAGACAATTTTTTTAATTTTCTATATCAAGACATGTTTAGAACCACTAAATTAATTTTTATTCTAAAGATAATAGTCTTTTTTTTCTAACATATTAAATAGAACATGAGAAAAAAGAAGATATTTTTTTTTTGAAAATTAATAGAACTTAAAAAAATAAAGATTAAATATTATATAAAGAATTATTTGTGCTAAATGCGATGAAAACGACTTTTTTTAAATTGATTTTTACTTTTTTATTTAAATATTCTATAAATGATCTGAGTCATTACCAAAAAAGCAAAAGTATTAAAAAAAAAAGTATTTAATTTCAAATAAAAAAAATTCTTTTCTTTTGAAAAAATGAGCAGAAAAGCTATTACCTATAAAGATCGTGTAAAAGTAGTGCATTTTCAACAAGAAGGTAAAACCACTTGTGAAATTGGAAAAATAATAAAACGATCACATAGCTTGGTGCTAACAATCATCAAAAGATTCAGAGAGACGAAATCTTGTGTTGATCGCCATCGTTCTGGGAGACCGGGTTTGATGACACCCAATGATGATCGTCTTTTAATCAGTTTGGCAAAGAAAAATAGACCCATGCCGTTGCATGAATTAAGAAGGGAATGGAAGCTTTCAAATGGATGCCAAGCATCGGCATTACTTGTGCATAGAAAACTAATAGCTAACAATATGCTATGGAAAAAACCTGTTCAAAACGACTAACCAAACAATATATAAAAAAGCGAAAAGAATTTTGCCAAAGTGTCAAAGAATGGTTTAAAGAAAAATGGAGGACAGTAATGTTCAGTGATGAGATGAATATCGAGGTTGATAACCGAAAAAACCAAATTATGATTCGATTTTATTTCAAAATTATGACAGCCTTCAGAAAAATATAATCTCGATTGTATTGTTCAAAGAACAAAACAAGGTAGCGGGTCAGTTGGAATATGATGCTGCATGACATATAATGGTCTCAGTATGTCTCAGCATTATTATTTGTTTAAATTCTTTTTGTCTATTTTCTTAAATTCATTTTTATTTTTTTTTTACCAGAAAAATATATTTGACTAAATAAAAATTTAAAAATAAAAATAAATCATGATTTGTTTTTTGGTGGTTCTTAAATTTTTTACAAGTCTATATACAGTCATCATCAGTTAAAACATATTTGTTAAAAATGGTATAAAATATAGTATAATTGTAAAAATAAACATAATAATAGCCATAAAATTGTAAACAAACTTCCAATAAATACAAAAAGAATTATTAAAAATCATTTTAACAAATGCCAAATATAACAAAAGAAACCGGTAAAAAAATCACAATACATGCACTTTATATCTTATAACAATAAACTAACCACACAAGGACTACAATGACCAATCACTACAATATACTTTTTACGTAAACAAAATAAGACAGGAATAGAAAAAAATTAGCATGCATTTTGTACAATGCAGGTCCATTTATTTATACTATTACCTTGAACATCTTTTAAGTGGCAGGTGAGCCACTAAATCACAAACCTTTTTCTGTTTTTATTATCTTTTAGCCACTCTAAAAGCTTACACCTTGAATTTTGAGTGCATTTTCTGTATTTGACTACAATAAAGTTAGATTTTTTGATCCTAAGGAACTTTATCTGACGTCAAAAAGTTAGTTTGTTTTGGTTTTGCACTAAACAGCCTTCAGTTGCAATTTTAAGCCTTAAGTTGCAATATGTAAACCATCTTTGTTTTTAATTCTATATTCTTCAATCTGTTATCAATCCCTTTGATTGATAAACATTTACAACCTGTGTTGATCCATATTCATATAGTATTCTGCATATTGATATATTTTTTACTTTCTGGTGTATCCATTAATTATATTGTAAATTAACTAGCTATCCTGATATATCAGTTTGTTATTATTATCTTACACTATTTTCAATAAGGAATTGTCTCTGCTCATCAGGCGAGATTTATATAAAAACTATTTGTTTTACTATATTCCACACCATGCTTGAAACACCATGCTTGTACTTTTACATACTATTTTTATCCTAGTTCAGATCTTTACAAGTATCTAATTCCTGGGTTGGTGTGTATTTATATATATATATATATATATATATATATATATATATATATATATATATATATATATATATATATATATATATATATATATATATATATATATATATATATATATATATATATATATATATAATTCACTTTGAAGTACTATGTGCTATCTACTACTTTTTATTTTATTTATTATCTATGCAAACATACATATATGTATATATGTATGTATATGTGGTATAGGTGTACATGTGTACATATATATATATGTTTGTAAGTATGTATGTATGTATGTATGTATGTATGTATGTATGTATGTATGTATGTATGTATGTATGTATGTATGTATGTATGTATGTATGATTAAAATATTGATCTTGTACAAGAATATATATATATAAAAAACTACTTTAAAACATCAAAACTTGACGCCAACTTTATGTTTTCTTTTACGTAAATATGAAAAAATTTGTTTTAACATATTGTCTTATATCTAAATTTATATCACTGTACATTAGAGAACAACTATGTTTTTGTATCTCCAAGGCTTCACAGACTTTTCTATCAAATTTCTTAGCCATAGAGTAAATTGTAATGTCCTTATTTCAATTTACTCTACGCAAAGCTAATACAGACTGGTTTAACTTGCCTTCAATCAAACATTTCTGGTGTCGCTGAACACTTATCTGTATTTGAAGTTTTGATTGCACTTAATTAAATAGTTTCCTTGTTGGCTGTTGTATGGTAGTTTTAATTTATTTCTCGACGTTAACAGCGTTTTAAAGTTGGCATTTGATTTAAAAACAGTTCAGTGACCAGCTTTTTTGAATATTTTTATGAGCCTGGGAGAAATTATTGGTATCCATGGTAAAGAGATTGTAGAAAGAATATTAGAGTTTGCAAGGATTTCATTTTTATTTGCTAAACATTTTTTTTGAACCTGATAAGAAATGTCTTTAAGCAATTTTTTTATAGTACCCATTTTCAGTAAACACTTTAATTAAGAAATTTATCTCATCTTGTAAATGATTTTTGCTGCATATTGGATAGGCGCTGTGTATGTATCCATTGAATATTGCTTATAAAATTTTATCAATTTTTCAATTTATTATTGTCTAGTGTTTAGACCATAAATTGTTCAACATTTGTTAGCTTTTTTTTTAGTAGTATGCATACTGACACTATAGCATGGTGGATTAGCGCGCTGCATCATAAACTTAAGATTCAGAGTTCAAACCTCAAAGGGCAGGCATTTTCTATATTTTATTTTATATTGTCCACTTTACAAATAGATAATGGTTTCTCTTTCAAACCTTTCAAAGAAAAGGTTGTCAGTGATGACGAAGATGTATTTGTGAGGCTGTATTGGTTAATTTTGGAGAATGCGGAGAAACTGTGTGGAGTCTCTGAAATATGAAGGAAGAGTTTCAGCTAGTGGTTGTATGAACTGTGTACATTTTGAAAACACCTGATTTTAAACTCATTTTTAATGAATATAAAAAAAAGAATTGGAAAAACAAAATTCAAACTTCATTCTTTACATAAAACAAAATTCAAAAATCACTAGTTACATAAAAACATTTCCAAACATTAAAAGTTACTAGGTTTGTCAAAAAGGCTTTGACCAAATTTAGAAGATTGTTGTGGTTACCAAAAAATAGTTTAAGAGCTTTTTAACATTTAGTTTTCTTAAATAATAAAAAATAAAAAACAAAAATAAAAAAAGATTTAAAAAGATTTTAATTCTAAGACAAATAATAGAAAACAAAAACAAAACAAAAAAAGATTTAAAAAGATTTTAATTCTAAGACAAATAATAGAAAAATAAAAATAAAAATACTAACCTTAACTGAAGCAAACCAAAAACAATTCATAGCAATTCTAGCTCCATCTTTAGTATGCAATATGTGTATAACATTTTCTTTTAAAATTTCTATCAGATCCTTATAATCAAAACAAAAGAAATAAGTTCTTTAATGAAAAATAAAAAATCTAAATGAACATCAATAAAAACTTTAATGAACTATAAAGGCATACAATAATTACAATCTATAACTTACGATTTTTTTTAAAAACTTTAATGAACTATAAAGGCATACAATAATTACAATCTATAACTTACGATTTTTTGTTGAAGATCAGCATAAGTAAAAAATTGAAAAAGAACTTTATGTATTATACTGTGTGTGACTACATCTCTAAAGTAAAAATAAACGCAAAATACAGTAAATAAAAATCTTAAATAGTTTATATGTTAATAGTTAGGGCAGCAATCATTTAGATTTATTATTTTTTTATAAAAATATACTTTTTATATTACACTTTTGTTATTTTTATTTATTTTATATTATATTATTTTATATTATATTTTTGTTACTTTTATTTATTTTATATTATATTTCATTTTTAACTTCATCTATTAACAAAAACGAATAATTACAATAATATAACCAAATTTAAACCTTGCCGTAACCCTAACCCTAAGCCTGACCATATTATATATACATATATATATATATATATATATATATATATATATATATATATATATATATATATATATATATATATATATATATATATATATATATATATATATATATATATATATATATATATATGTATATATATATATATATATATATATATATATATATATATATATATATATATATATATATATATATATATATATATATATGTATATATATGTATACATAATAATGATTCAAATGCAAAAATACAACTTTTTATGGAACTAAAAGTTTCATATATAAAGTTTCATATATATATATATATATATATATATATATATATATATATATATATATATATATATATATATATATATATATATATGTATATATATGTATACATAATAATGATTCAAATGCAAAAATACAACTTTTTATGGAACTAAAAGTTTCATGCCTGACAGCATCATCAACTATAGATTTAAATCAAGAAAATAAAAAATAAAAAAAATAACCTAACCACAAGATTTTTTAAATCATACTTTAATTTGCAAATTTTTTTTGACAGCTCAGAATAGTTTTTATATTATAAAATACAGAAGGATTTAAATATCTAATTTTAGAGGGAATCTCACATATGTTGGTTAGTAGAAGACATGTTTATAAGCTAATGGTTCTTTAGTTTGCTTTGGACTATGAGATGTTTTTAATTTGTATGTATACTCTTACTTTGAGAACTTCTGTTTATAATTAAACATTTTTAAAAATTTTGCGCATTGAATTGTACACATATCAACAGACATTAATGCATACATATATTGACAGATATAAAGACATAAATGCAGCGAGTTTAAATACATTGACAAATGAGGGTTTTGAGTTAAGAAGGTAATCTTTTAATTAAAGAAAAAGATTTAATCTTTATTCTAGTCTTGCTTTTTAGTGCTCGATTTGAAGCAAAAAACTTATGGAATTTCCACTATGAATAATGATAAAATTTGTCAAAATATCACACTATATGATATGCTGTTTAATTTTTGACTATAAAAAAACAAAGACCAAGAACTTTAAAATTAAAACAGTTGATACCTTTAACTAATTTAAAATCAATTAAAGTTATAATAAGCAAAAATTACCTTATTTAAAAAAAAATCAAAAACCATTATTTAACTTGGACTAGAAAATAAAGAAGAAAAGCTACAGAGCTAAAAAATAGTTAACAGAGTTAAACAGTTTAACAACAAGAAGACTTGAAGAGTTATAAAAATTTTTGTTTCAAATATGGTGGTTGCATCATTACCAAATATGGTTGCATTATTATCAAATATGGTTGTATTATTACCAAATAAAGCCACTTAAAGATTTTCTAAGCAAAATTTTGAAAAGAACAACTTACAATGCATAGATTTTCTATTACTCCATAATACCATTCTTTTAACTAAAAAAAACTAAAACAGGAGGGGAGGGGGAGGAGGGGGAGGGAGAGAGGGTAATGCCACATTATTGAAACAGCATTACATCAAAATGATGCTAAATCTGATTTTTTTTAAAACTTATACAATAGTAAAAATGTAAACCTGTGTTTATTGAATATATATAATTATTTTTAGCCATTATTTTTTATTTACACATTCAATTTGGTTTATTAAGCATTTCATTAATTACTTCTGAATAGTTCAGAATAGAGTCCTCAGTCTTGATGTCAATGTAAAATTAAGAATGAGTGCTGATACTGGACTGCCATTTTTGTCCAAACAAAACTGCACTGGATCATTATCAACTACCTGACTCTGTTCAACAAACGTCAGGTTAATTCAGATTTAGCATTACTTTGCTTAATGTTATTTTAATGATGCGATATTACTCTCTAAGTTTTCTTTTTGCATTAAAAGTTTTTTTTTTATGTGGTACTTAAAAGTAAACCCTTCAAAGTTCCATCAAGATCTTCTGAAAGACCGAGTTTATAATATACCAAAAAATCAGATTGAGCCAAGAGATTGGAAGCATCGGATCAGGATCAAGATATTGACAAATAAATAGATAAGCCAATAGTGATTTTTTTTGTCTAATAATAAAGAAATTCAAATTAGCATTACTTAATTTATGATGCAAATTGATGGCAAAATTAAAATTTTAAAAAAAAACTGGAGCAAAATCAAATCAAGCTTGTCTGATAATTATTTTGTTAAAAATTGGAGTAATATGATGTTATAAAGTACTAAGACAATATAACCATTTGTGAAATTCTATCATTTCCTTTAAAACATAACTGGAGCCTGGGAACCAAAAAACCTTACAAAAATCACCCAAATATAATGATAATGAATAACTAAAATATTTTTTTTACTATCTTCTTTATTATTATCTTATTATTATTTTTTATTATCTTTTTTATTATTATCTTCTTATTTTTTAACTATCTTCTTTATTATTATCTTATTTTTTTTTTTACTATCTTCTTTATTATTATCTTCTCATTACTTTTTTACTATCTTGGGTTTGAAGGTTTAGGTTTGAAGTCTGCATAATGCTTGAAAGTATCAATTCTAAAGCATCTCAAAATCTTATTTACGCCACTCAAACATCTACACCACTCAAACAATGAGATATTTAGATAAAGACAAAATTGCGATTTTTTTTTAAATATGCAAAAAGTATAACTTTTTGCTATACTTGCTATATACTACCCCCAAAGAATTTTTATTTTTTTTTCATTAAAGAATGATATTATGGAGTAATAGAAAATCTATACATTTAATGTTGGAACTAAATTCCCATTTTGAATAATGGCTGATTTTCAAACACTAGTTAAAACATTTTTGTAACCAACACCCCCTCAATTTTTTTAAACCATTAAAACTACAATGGGGACCCTAATCTAAACCCTAACAACCCTATCTAAAAATTTTTTTTTTTTTGTGTGAAAGTTTAATTTATACTTTTCTTTTGTGTGAAATATATGAAAGTTTTATCTATACTTTTCTTTTGTGTGAAAGTTTTATCTATACTTTTATCTATACTTTTCTAATATAAATGCAGTTGTCTCATTGGACTTCTTGCAGTTGTTTCATTGGACTTCTTGCAGTTGTCTCATTGCCTTTAAATTTAGTTTAAAAATCATAAAATCCCAATAATGACTTTCCAAGTGTTAAAAGGTCAAAAGTTAAACTGATTATGACTCAGGAACCACAAATATTTATATAAAAAAAAAAAGTTTACAAGCACAAGTTTTTTTCAACCATTCAGCATAACTAAAATTGAGCGTGATTGAAGGATATCAATTTTGAGCTAACAATATTTTTTCAACAAAATTTTTCCTCAGAAAATGTTTCTTAATAAAATTATATATCATAAATCAATACAATTTCATTTCAATAAAACTTAATTTCTGAATAAAAAAAATTCAACAACTTGGAAAACAAATATTTTTAACTATTCTTTTTTTTTTACTATACAATTTTATTCTATATTAACTTTGAACTTCATCAGAAAAAAGATTTTTCAATATACTTTTTTTTTAATAAAATTAAAATATGGTCTATTTATATTACATTATATTTTTATATTATATTTATATGGATAAATAACAAATCATTTCTTAAATATTTTCATATATTATATAAAGTGTTTCTTATACTATATAAACATGTTAACAATAAACTTCTAATAATTTATTAAATTCAAAGAAAAAAAAAAAATGTATGAAATTTTTGAAAATTGTAATCAATTAAAATATAAATGTAGATCATTTACTTTTGACAAAGTGCAGTTAGTGATTCTTTCATATGTTTTAGAATTGCTTTCTTTTTTTCACTTCCATCTACAGATAGAATTTCACCAACAGTTTGTCCTGAAATAACCTAAAACATAAAACAATATTTACAAAAACAACATACTATATTCAACAATAGTTACATAAAAGTCATTTTTTGAAATCATATAATAAGAAAACCAGTAAAATGTATACATAAAAGTGCTGAAGAGATACCATTGCAAAATTTTTAAGTATATACAAATTTTAATAATAAATAAGAAGATAGCATTTAAACCAAATTTTCTAATTTAACTTTTCTACCTTTCTAACAAGACTGGGTTGTAGTTATAGATAAATTAGTATTTATGTCAATTAATAGTTATGTAATTTTTTATTTTTTAATTACTATAAATGTAAATTACTGTTTTACTTTTTGTATTGTATATTCATGACCATAAAACTCCTCCACCATTTTGGATTTTTGCAAATTACTTGCATACTTGTCATAGACTTTGTCCAAAATTTCACTTGCATTCTAGAAAAGATAAAACATTACTTTAATTCTAGAAAAGATAAAATTTCAATTGCATTTTAGAAAAGATAAAATTTCACTTGCATTTTAGAAGGAAGGTCATTATACATTAGAGAGAAGGTCCCCTCGAATGAATTTAGAATGCAAGTGAAATTTCCATTTTCGATTTTAAATACTATAAAAACATTGTTTCGGTGAAAATATGACAAATGCAAAATATCTATCATAATATGTCAAAGCGATTAGCTGGGAGTGCAAGATACTGTTTCCCACCACCAGAAGAGCAATGTATCATCATATTTGATTCACATTGATTTTATGTCAACTTTATATTGATTAAAGATTTTTATTTAATAGTTATTAAAAAAAAATTTTTGTTCAATACTTTAATTCATTGGTTTTAAAACTAGTTTTTTTTATGAGGTATGATTGGGTGGTGTCAGACACATGTTTGGAAGGTGGTTCTAGACAACTTAATTTGTTTACATATTAGAAACAAGCAACTTTTTTTGTAAAAAAATAAAAAATAAATTCAATACAACACACAAACCTATATATAATATATAATAGTATAATATAATAAACCTATAATATATATATATATATATATATATATATATATATATATATATATATATATATATATATATATATATATATATATATATATAAAATAATAATAATAATAATAAATATATAATAGTATAATATAAGAGGCACTTTTTAAAGACAATTTTTAAAAAAAATGTATTTAAAACAGTCTAATGCTAAATGCGTCGTACCAGTAAAAAAGAGGTAGAATCATGATTAAACTATGTGTCCAGGGCCCCAATTTTGAAACATGCCTTTTTTCTAACTTTTTTTTTTTAATGTTTTGTTCAATTATTATTTTTTTTGTTTCTAATTCGATAGATAAATGTTTATACTTTTAAAAAAGTCTTTTAACACTTTGTTTCCTGTTAATACATGTGTACAATCTATTTTTTCCTTAAGTGCATGACTTTCCGCTACATTCTAAAACTTTTACTGTTTAAAACTTAACAAAATGTAAAAGATTTAAAAAAAAAAAAAAAGAAGATAATAGATTTCATGATCATTATAAAACTTATATTTTTTTATAGATAAAACATCCCTGAACACAGTTTTCTATTTTCCTATAATTTTCCTAAACATGAATCTTTATTTTTCTCAAACTACTTCAAATTCCCCCTGAAGTTTTTAAAAATTTTGATTTATAACTAGAATGTGTAATTTAAAAAAGAAAAAACCTAATAAACACAAATTGTAGTCCAGCTAAATTTGATTCAACTTTTACTATATTAAAGGGAAAAAGTAACAGTATATATAAACTTTGACTAATGTATCAAGCTGGTAACCAATTAATGAGAATTTGATATTTTTCTCCTTGAGTTTTATCAACAATTGGATTTTTGTAATAACTATCAAAATAATCTTATCACTTTTAAAAAAATTCCATATTCATTGTATTATAAATAAGCTAGGACTTTAAAGGTTGGAAAGGTTCTTTATTGAGTCCATAAATAATAACAGATCATACATGAACTTTATTGATTGTACTAAAGATAACAACTACAGTAACTTGTTACATTAAAATTCTTAACTTTTATAACTTTGTTAAATCCAAAGGAAGACAATCCAAAGGAAGTTTCACTAGAAAAACTGACAAATTAACTGATAGCTTATTCAATTAAAAAATTTATAAATATTACAGTAATAATATTTCTAAATTTTTTCTTTATAAGGATTTAATTAAATATAAATTAAACCTTTATAAAGAAACATTAGGTTAAATATTTTATTTCATTAAGATTTTTCCGAGTTATTAAAATAAAGATAAAAAACATAAGCATAAACATAAAAAAAAACATAAAAGTCATAGAAATATGAAAATAGTATATATGAAATAATAATTATGAAATAAACTGCATAAAAAATTAACAGCATTGGATAACCTTTTTCTGGTTTAATTAAATATAAATGGTTAATTGAAACCATTATCAATACACCAAGATACAACATCTCTACCAGGTATAACTCACTATAAACTTAAATGAGGTTTGTAGATAAAGCAAGTATATGGAAAATTTATAAGAACTAGTTTCAGGTCTCCTTTGATGTTAATAATTTGTTATCTTTGGTCCCAATGAAAGATACAATTAGTATTTTAGTTGAAAGATTAGGAAAAATTAGAGCTTTATATCTACTTAATCATATCTAAATTAGCTTTTGAGGAGATCAAATTACTTTTAGAACTTTGCCTGTCTTATTGCTATTTTTTGATATTCATGAGCTTGAAAGTTCTGGACCAATGGGCTTAGCTCTTATGGTGGTAGTTGCTGAATGTTTTTTAAAGTACCATGAAAGTAATTCTTTTTCATTGGGTTTTTACAATAATATTTATGTCAAATCATTTAAAAATATGTTGGTGATATATATTCATGATTACATGTAAAAAAATTTATAGATCTATTATATAAACAACAGAAAAGTATTCCATACACAATGAAATCTGCCAACTTAACCAATACATTAAATTATCTTGATATTTCAGTTAACAAAAACTAACAACAAAACTGGAGAATATAGTTTTAAAATACATTTTATATATATATATATATATATATATATATATATATATATATATATATATATATATATATATATATATATATATTTTATAAGAGATATATATATATATATATATATATATATATATCAGGCTTGGTCGGGAAGCGGGAGCGATCGCTCTCGAATACTGACCACGGAAATTATATTTAGTTGCGTAAAACTGGCCAGGTTTTTTTAGTCGTTTTGAGAACATTTAAGTTTATGTACGAAACAAAAAATTTTTGTTTTACGGACATACATGGAAACATAAAAAACTTGAATGTTCTCAAAACATCTTTGAGCGCAAGAATAAAAAGAATATTTGCGAACACTAAAAACCCGCCAAATTAACGAACAAACTAATTCTATTGGTTCAAAAAATACGCTGATTAGGCGAAATAAAGTTCTAGAGTATTCTGTTGAAATGTTTTAATTCACGATTTGTTACGTTTTGAGATTTCTAGCATAAATTGTTTTAAAAATATTTATTATTTGTTTACAAAAATAACTGTTTTAAATATATATTAAGTTGTCAAAATTTTAAAAGTTTATTATAAATCATAGATTTTATTAGTATATTCTTATATTTTATTTTAAAAGAGATTGTATTCTTTATGTAAATGTAATTTTGTGTATTTGTTTTTTATCATAATGTATCTTTTAAAGCAATTTTCATGATTTAAACAAAGATATACAAAAATAATTGCGTTTTCAATGAAGTTATAATCGTTAAAGTTAATAAAACTAATTATGTAACAAACATATAAGAAGTTTCTGGTTACTAAACACAAACAACGCATACAAAGTAACTCGCGGATGAACAAGCATCGCGCCTGAGGTCACGACAAAACGCAAATATATATACCAAATAATTAGATTTAAAGAAAAGTTTCTAGATACAGGTTTACTAACTCTAATTATTTTCGCTTAAATTGCCATTCTTAAAACTTGTTATACTTTTTGCTGCTTTAAATACTTATTAAAATTAAAAAGCCCACTCACTAAACATCATCAGCGATATTGTGAAGCAGTTTCGCTTCCTGGTCATTAAGTATTTTTAACCTTTTTAGTTGATTTCTATCTTGATAATTTAATTCCTATAGTAATTCAATGATTTAATTATTTCATTTGTTTATCTTACTAAGAAGAATCGCTTCAAGTATGTTAAACTTTTCAAACTACGCGAAACATAAAATAGGTATTAAAAAAATTAACTTTTTTATTTATAAAATAATTTAGATTAAGTAAAACTGAAACTTGCAAACTTAGTTAAATAAAGAATATTTATTTCTCTTTTAAACAATCGTAAGTTGTTACTTTATTTAAAAAACATCGCATAATTTTATTTTTTTTGTAATTGTCTCTCATCGGTCCAACTAATCTTCGTCGCTTTTTTTTTTTTGCTTTTTAAAATGTTATCAAAACGACTAAAAATCTGGCCAGCTTTTCGCAACTAAATATTATTTACGTGGTCAGCAATCGAGAGCGATCGCTCCCGCTTCCCGACCAAGCCTGATATATATATATATATATATATATATATATATATATATATATATATATATATATATATATATATATATATATATATATATATATATATATATATATATATATATATATATATATTATGTATATATTTTATAAGGGATATATATGTATATATATATCCCTTATAAAAATAAAATCTTTACATTATACAAAAAAGAAAATTATATAGTTATTGGTCAATTACTTCAATTGATCAATTAAGTATTCTCTTTTTTAAATTTAAATTAATCTTCTTTGGAAGAGTATCTTTTTAAGAGTTTTTTTTTAATGTAACTTTTATATATATATATATATATATATATATATATATATATATATATATATATATATATATATATATATATATATATATATATACATACATACATAGCAAGAAGTTCCGAGTTTGATCACCACCAGGTCCCTGGTAGTAATGCGCTCAACTTATTTCTCTGTGAGGTGGCCTTGTTTGTTAAGGTTTATGTTATGACGAAGTTATAGAGTTGAGAAAGGTTTGTAACCACAAATAAAGTAGCCTCCTCAACTGTAGTGGCCTTCATGGGTTTGGAGTGGAGAATCAACATACAAAATAAATTAAAAAAATTTGTAAAGCATACAGTTTACAATAGCCTCCTTTGCCAAAAGCTAGACAGTAATTTTTAATATGAGAAAATTTTTAATGGATGTTAACAACCATTTCATATATGAGAAAAATTGTTAATGGATGACAAAAACCATTTATTGGCAACAAAAAATATAAAATGTGGCACCAATGTTCATATTTCATATTTCAAATATGAGAAAAATTGTTAATGGATGACAAAAACAATTTATTGGCAACAAAAAATATAAAATGTGGCACCAATTTTCACTTTTTAAAGTTTTTTTTTTTTTTTTTTAAATTATCTTTGCTTCCAACAAGGCTGCAAGCAACCACTAATTAGTGTTGGAAGTTACTGGAAGAGAAAAGATGAAGATTGCAGAGCAAGATAACGATTGACAAAAGACTTGAAAAACTGCAAAATGTATGAATCAGGAAAGCAAAATGAAGGAAGCGAATTCCAAAGAACTGATGTTCGAGGAAAAAAACTAGACGAATAAGAGTTTTTGGAGCACTTAGGAACAGTAACAGAAAAAGGATGAGACTTGATTGAATGACGAGTAACACAAGAATGAATTTTAGTAGATGGCACAAGATACGCTAGCTCTTTCGAGCAGTGCCCATTATAGTATTTGTAGAAAAGAGAAAGAGAAGCAACATTACGACGATGTGACAGAGGTTGAAGGTTGGCTGCAAGAGCAGGTCCAACTTTGTTTACAATGCGTTTTTGCACCTTGTCTAAAAGAGAAAAGGCATCATTAGAAGATCCGCCCCAGTTATGGCAACAGTATTCCATACAAGGCTGGATTTGAGCCTTATAGAAATAGAGAATAGAATCCAGAGTAAGAAAGTGACAAGCTCGATAAAGAAAAGCAACTTTAGCAAATGCTAATTTTGCAACAGATTTGATATAAGGTTTCCAAGAAAGATCAGAAGTAAGAGTTAATCCTAGAAGATGAAGGGTAGGAGACTCATTGAGTACATTACCGTTCAGAAAAATATAGGAAGGTCTAAACTATTGCGATAACGATTGGCTGAAAAAAATTGAGTTTTATCTGAATTAAAGTTCACCAGCCACAGTGAGCCCCATGCTGTAGCAGAAGTGCGATCCTTTTCAAGCTCAGATGCCCCCTGCAAGCAATCAGAGGGAGTTGGCTTCTTATCGTGACAAGAATAAATGGTAGTATCATCAGCGAACAATGCCACTTTAGAGGTGAGAATATCTGGAAGATCGTTAAGTAAATTAAAAAGAGTATAGGGCCAAGGATTGAACCTTGGGGAACCCCTGAGGTTACAGAATAAGAAGAAGCGTGCTGTCCATCAAGGACAACTTTTATACTACGATTGGAAAGAAAGGATTCAATAATCTTAAAGATGTTTCCAGATACACCATAAGAAGAAAGCTTAAGGAGGAGACCAGCATGCCAAACTTTATCAAACGCTTTAGAAATGTCAAGAGCAAAGGCCTTAACCTCTCCACCTTTATCTAATGCGGGATAAAACCTATCGGTTATTACTGATAGCATATCAGCCGTAGAACGAGAAGATCGAAATCCATATTGATGATCAGAAAGTAGGTTATGAGATTCAAGATGAGAGATTAAGTGTTTGTTAATTAAAGATTCAAAAACCTTGCTTATGATAAGAAGAAGACTAATGGGACGGTAGTTGGACGAATCGGATCGCTCTCCAGAATTTTAAAAAATAGGGATAACAGATGCTGCTTTCCAGCAAGCTGGAAAACAAGACTCTGATAAGCACTTGTTAAATAGTTTTGAAAGAATAAACGACAGTTCCGGAGAACACTTCTGCAAGACTATAACGGGTATGTTATCCGGGCTGCAAGCTGTAGAAGAGTTATAGCAGGAAATCACTCTAGATACAGAAGCTGGAGTGATATGAATGTCGAGCAATTGATCAACCTGTTTGACGGCTATATCAGGTAGAACGCAACAAGTGGAATCAAGAGATGATATTGATGAAAAGTTCTTGGCAAACAATTCAGCTTTGTCTTTAGGTGAGGTGACAAAGTCTGAGCCATACAAAAGAGGTGGAATTACAGACTTGCCCTTATTATTGATACTATTAAAGATTCTCCAGAAGTCACGAGAGCCTAATTTTTGTGATGAAATACAAGATTTCATGATCTGAGAATAGCGGGCTTTGGCGTTAAACAAAACCTTTTTACAATGGTTCCTAGCAGCAATAAACAGACATAAGTTTTCTGGAGAATTGTTTTGCTGATAGATATGGAAGTAATGGTTTCGATTAGCAATCGTAGCAGCACAATGTGAGGAAAACCATGGAGAAGAGTGAGGCTTGACCTGGAATCGTCGAGAGGGAATAAAGGATTCAATGCCAGCCTGAATCCACAAAGTTATGTAAGAAGCACATTTGTCAACAGGGAGACGAAAGATTTCCACCCAGGGGCCATCACGAAGAAAATCACGGAAGAGACGAAGTCAGCTTTAAGGTAGTTGTAAGATGTACGATGATAGGGGGATTCTGATGGTAAAGAAGAATGAGATAATAGTTTTAGAGAGACCAAACCATGATCAGAAGCACCTAAGGGTGAGTGTGAAGAAACTGAGCACTGACTAGGATCAGAAACAAGACATAAGTCGAGTAGAGAAGGTAAATGATTCGGTTGTCTGGAAAGCGAGTTGGAAAGTTGACTATTTGAGTTAGGGATTGAGAAAGACAAAAGTTGTGGGCCTTAATGCCTGGAGAGTCACTGATACTAGAGCCAAGCCATTCAGTGTGATGAACATTAAAGTCACCGACAACAACAATATTGGCTGATGGATAAAGAATGAGGGCTTGGTCAATATAATCAGAAATAACATCAAGAAGAGTGCAGTCTTGAGATGAGGGAGAGCGATATAGAACAAAGAGAAAGGTGATAGAGTGAAGTGGTGCTAAACGAAAGCACATAAAAGAGTAGTCTGTGGATTCAAACCTAGTTTCCTGACAAATGGGTGAATTCTTACGAATGCAAATGCCCAGGCCAAGCATGTGACTATTGGAGTCTTTACGAATTAAAGGAAGATAACCATCAACACTAAGATCACAAGATGAAACAGCTGAACTCAAATTAGTCTCACAAAGAGCAAGTAGGTCTGGTGAACTTTGCAAGAGATAAGACTGAAAAGAAGAAAAGTTAATTCGAAGACCACAAATATTGATGAATGATAGGTTTAGCGAACTTGATGACGACTGTGGTTTTTTGTGTTTTATAGTTTTTGTTACTTTATTCATTTTTAAATTTTTTAAAGAACTTGACTCGAAACATAGATAGTACTCTGTACACTGTTTTATAGCTCAAGCAATTGCCTCATTTCCACTAATAAACCCTAAGCCGTAACAAAGGCCTCCAATGTGGCCTTGGCAATGCACACTAAAAGTACAAACAGGGACACCATCCATGCGCAACATGGCACTGTTAGTACTCTGATATTTTTCAGCTGTTGATGGAATCAGCCTCTCTGAGAGCTATCACAGAGTTCGGGAAACCTGACTACCAGCCGGTCTCAGAACCATAAAACTGAGTTTTAAAGCTGTACCCTCATTTGGAGATAATAGAATGAGTTGCCTAGTCATAAAAACAGAGACACAAGCAAAACCCATGAGTTGAGTCAAGAAGACCAAGAGCCCCAAGACAGGGGGTGTTTTATGTCGGAGTTTGCATCTCCTAGCCTTTGCCTAAAAAGGCATATCCTACAAGGCAGCAGGACATGTTATTATTTATTAGCATCATGGAGTCTGTTGTTAGCATCATGGAGTTATTAGCATCATGTTATTAGCATCATGAAGTCTGTCACTAGTTATTAGCATCATGGAGTCTGTTGTTTGAAACATTAAGGAGATAATATCAGGTTTGCAGATATTCTTTTTGATTTCAACAACTTTATGGAGAATGTCATTATTAATTAAAAAACTCAATAAAATAATAAAATTTAAATTTGGAAATTTTTACAATTATTTTAAACTTAATACAATATATATAAATAAAGTAATAACCTATTTGTATAAATATATATAAATAAAGTAATAACCTATTCTTAGCTATTCCTATTCCTATGGATATTGCATATCCATAACTAATAAATAACTTAATATATTACTCAATATTGGCAATAGACAAACTAATAAAAATATTGCCCATACAATATTTTAAATCAATGGTAGAGCAGTGTTTGGACCTTTTTTCTTAAACAGCATTTTTAATGGCATTTCAAATTGGTTCACTTTACAGTATATAAAACAGTTTTGCATTTCTTTCACAACACTCTGTAAAAATTAAATTTTATAAGTATTCTGTAAAGTTAAAACATAACATTCTGTAAAATTCTGTAAACAACAAATAACATTCTGTAAAATTAAAAACAAAAAAATCTCTTACTTTATTTCTAATAAGCTTAGTGATTTTTCCATAAAATGACTCAATGATCTTATTTTTTTGTTCTTTTGATCTGAAAAAAAACAAAACAAAAAAACAATTGTAATAATTTGGTAATTTTTAATTTTAACAAAATATGAACAAAAAACTGAAAACAGAAGAAATGTTTTTTTTTAATTTATACCATGTTTCTATCAAATAAATAATCAAAAACTTAAAACCATTAAAGGAAATAATTAGGGACAAATAAATAATGCAACAACAACAATAACAAATTAAATAAAAATAAAGAAATAATAATAAATAACATTAGATGGTTAGTTAAGTAGAAATAGTTATAAATAGATTTTATATTTTTGTTTTTATATCATTAGTTAATATAATAAAGAGATGCAACCTTAGCAGAGGCTATTTTTGCAATGAACTTGATATATGGTTTCCAAGAAAGATTAGAAGGAAATGAAAGATGACTCATTAAATAAATGATTCATAAATATAGTAAGATTTAAGCGATATTATAACAATAACGATTTCTGAAAAAAAAAAGAGTTTTATCTGGGTTAAAGTTCATGAGACAATGAAAGCACTTTAGATGTAAAAATATCTGGAAAACCGTTAAGGTAAATTAAAAAGAGTATAGGGCCAAGGATTGAAGCCCTGAAGTGACAGGATATGAAGAGTGCTGTTCATTGAAGATAACTTTTATACTACAACTGGAAAGGAAGAATTCAATAATTTAAAAGCTGTTACCTGATACACCATAAGAAGAAAGCTTATGGAGAAGACCAGCATGCCAAGTTTATCGAAAGCTTTAGAGCAATAGCCTTCACCTCTCCATCTCTATCTAATGTACAATAAAACCTATCGGTTTTATTGTACATTAGATAGAGATGGAGACTCTCATTAGGAGATAATAAAATGATTTGTCATAAAAACAGAGACAGAAGCAGAAACCATGCATTGAGTCAAGAAGATCCAACATTCAACTTTCTAAACTGGAAACATTACATCTATGCCAGTCTTATAGGTGAAGAAGAGGTGCAAGACTGGTCAACAGATGGATAATCTTTCTTAAATTAAATTATTTTTATTAGTATGCATCACTATTATTGTTATGTATGTTATCGATACTCCAGGATACAAAGAAAAGAATTCAATTCTAGAACCGTTTATTATATGGAAGTTTGATATACGAAACAAACAATTAGTTGTATTATTAAAACGTTTGGAAAACTTTTTTAACTATTATAAGGGTTACGAAAAATTCAATTTATCTGTTTATCCGTTATCCGTTTCACTTATTTGTTTATCCATTAAGTCTTTGCTTTTTATAAGTCAGTAGCCAGATTAAAATGGGCAGATTTTAAACAGCGTTTAAAATCTGTTTAAGATAAGTATTTTTATATTTTTTTATGGTTTAACTTAAAATCAGGAAAAAGCAATAGCTTAATTAATTTATTCAAAGTTTAAAAATAAATACTTTTATAATTAATTAAAATTTTATTTTCTTTGCTTTATAAGATAAGTATTTTTATCAAGACACCATCTCTATCATTTTTATCAAGAAGATCATCTCTAGCCTTTACTCAAACAAGAGCAATAAGGCAGAGGAGGTGTTAAGTTAGAATTGACTTCTCCTAGCCTTTGCCTAAAAAAGCATATCCTATAAGGCAGCAGGACATGACATCTTTATTGACAGAACAGGACACCTTTATATAAGTGAATATCTGCCATGATATCCTATCCATGGCAGATATCCTTCAATTATTCACTAAGTATATCAAATGAAAATAAATTTTATTTGCTTAATTAAAAACTTAAAATCAGGAAAAAGCAATAGCTTAATTAATTTATTCAAAGTTTAAAAATAAATACTTTTATAATTAATTAAAATTTTATTTTCTTTGCTTTATACATAGACTTTTATAAATACTCAATAGATACTTTCTCACAACTTTTTAAATGAAGCACAAACACAAAGAAATCCTAAATGAAAAAACGACAGAAAATTGTAATTGTAAACACAAAAAAAACAATGATTGTCCAATGAGTAGAAATTATTGATCAAAAAATGTGGTATAAAAATTTGTTGTTTTCTCTAAGAATGTACCTGATAAGCAAAATATTGGCTTAAAAGAGGGTGAATGGAAAAAAATGTTTTGCCAATCATAAGTAATCCTTTAAAAATAAAAAGTATTCAGAGACTTCATGCAATACATATGGGAATTAAAATATAACAATATTGATGATTTTATATTAAATTGGTTCACCCTTAAAACAGCACCTGCATATAATAATATATCTAAAAATGCTTTCTATGCCTATAAGAAAAATTTGAAATAATTACACATGCGAGCCATAAATGTTTATTAAACAAAAAATCGAAATTGATTTCTAAATGCTGGCAAGAATATAAGTTTTTCCTTGCAAACTATGAAATTAAGTGAGCTCAAATAATAATTACATTAAATCCTCTCTTTAAAAAATATTTTAATAAAAAGCAGAAGTAATCAATTCTAAAGCATTCTTTTTATAATAGTGTTAGCATATTCCACAAATGTGTGAAAATTTACAGTAGTTATAACATTTACGACTTCTGTAAATTAATTTATTACTGCTCTGTTCTTTTAAGAGCATTGAGCAATCTATTTTGAAGAATAAATTTTTAAAAATGTTTATATATATATATATATATATATATATATATATATATATATATATATATATATATATATATATATATATATATATATATAAGTAAATATATCAGGGATGTACACTCGTGGTCGCCCGATGGCACCAGGCGACCGAATATTGTGAAGGGCGACTCAAAATATTTTTTTTAAGCAATCAAGTCGCCTGAAAGGGCGACTATTGATTTTTATCAGCAGTTCTATTTTTTTGTGTGTGTAATTTAAGAGATTTAAAATATGTAAAGTAAATAATGCAATAAGTAACTAAAATGATAATAAAACTCTATTTTAAAAGTCATAATGCTAAAGTTTATTTACCGCATTTTCTATTGTTAATTAGAAAATACAAGTAAAATAAAAACAAAAAGGTTTTATCGTTTAAACATTCTTTTTTTATTTAATTAAATTTTAGAGATATGTAATAATTTAAAAGATAAGTAATAGAAGTAAATTTGTCCAATTTGTCCAATTTGTCGAAATTCTACATAAACTGAAAAAAAAAAAAAAAAAAAAAAATTTAAGAAATGACTAATGACTGTAGATTGCGTCTGGAAAGGCATTTTTATTAGTACTTTAAAAACTTACTACAGTAAGTACTTTTAAAAACTAGTTACTACTGATCATTAGAAATTTAGTTCAATTTAGGCCATACAAATTACATTTTAAATTACAAATAAATTCCAATCCTGCAATTATTGTGAGACCAGACAGTCTCCAATTATTTAAAAACAATTTATTTAACCATCAAATGTGTATTATTTTTAACTATCGCTAAAGTCGGTTTAAATAGAGTAGATATTTATTTCAGTTCCAATCATTTTGTTTACAATTAAGTTGATTATTAAGTTGAATCTAGAAGACGAAGGAATTAGTACTTATAGAAGATGAAATATCTCAACTATTCAGCGATAGTGACAACAATAACGATGAATGCAATTTTGAAGGTTTCCTAAGTAAAGAAGAGCCAGACGACTACAATAATGAACTAATAGTACATACAAAAATATAGCGCCTCTAATGGTAGGTTTAATTACGGATGGCGCTAATGTTTTAACTGGACGGAGACATAGTGTTCAGCAACAGCTAAAAAGTAGTTGCAACAATTTTCTCACTTACACACATTGTTTGTTGCACCGATTGCAGCTGGCACTGAGAATGCAGCCAGCACTTCAAAGGAACTCCAAATTCTACAGCTATTTTGTGAGCAACTCTTCATTTTTCATCGAAATTCTACTGTTATATCAGCGGTTTATTGTAACGCATGCAAAGTTTATGGTGTAAAAGGTATTTTAAGAATTAAGCCTAGTTATATTGATAATATCTTAACGTACTTTTACTTATTATTTTTAGGTAGTATTAACAATCAAAATTTATATTAATTAATTTAGGCAATTTTATATTTATTTAATTTAGTATTTTAATTTTTAGGCCAAATGCAGTGTCATACGAGTTAATGGTACCAGATGGGTTGCGCATATGGTAAATGCGTTGGAGAATCTTCTCAATGGTCTAAAAGCACATATTCATAGTTATACCACTATCAGCTTGGAAAGCGACTACAGCACAACACAGAAATCAAAGGCTAAGTTCTTTGCAAAGAAATTGGTTGATCAGCACTTAATGTCGACGGCGATCTATATTCTTGATGTGTGTAGAGCAATGACAATTTTTTCAGAGGCATTAGTAAGGTTTTTTCAGAGTATTAATTCACCACAAACTAAAGTTATAAGCTTTATAAATAAACAACAAAAAAAGTATATATATAATTAGGTAATATGTGAGTTTATTGTAACATATACTAATATTATTGTTATTAAATCTTTTAGAAGTATAAACTTTGCAAGAATTAACATTCAATAATCAAAGTAAAATGTTTACAAAAGATAAAAACTTCGTTTTAAATAGATTTTGTCGCGCTCTTTTTTAACTAGTTAATTTAAAGTCTATTAAAATTTTCTTGAAAGAACAAATTCATTCGAATTTTATAATTATATTTTGTTGCTCTCATACTTAGAGTTTTTTCAGAATAAGAAACTTTTTCTAAATTAATATTTCCTAAACGTTTATTGATTAAAATTTAATTTTTCAAAATAAAATATAAAAATTATTATTATTTGTATATTGATAAAATACATAATTTGTTGCTGTAAATTATATATTGAATTAACTACTAAAATCAAATATTTAATTACATATATAACTTAACTATATAGTATTTAATAAAAATACACTATTGCTTTTCAAATTAAAACATTAATGTAACAAATAATAAATTGTTTACTTAGAAATTTAAGAATATACCAATAATGATATTGCTTATGTTTTTATTTAAAGGTTAACACAAAAAATGTTTCAACGTATGAAGTTAAGTCAACGTATGAAGTTAAGTCTTAAGGCTCGAGCATGCCGTTTGCAATTTAGAAAGATTCGAAGAAAATCCAGACTCTGGTTTTTACTTGAAGTGCTCAATATATGGGATTGTGAATTTGCATGAAGTGATAAAATATGAAGATCGAGTTTATATTGTTACATCCATGAAAAAGTGCATTTTGAAACGATGTTCAAATGGGTCAGATGTCTTTGCGGAGGCAGACGAGTTGCTTAACACAGTTGTATGGACGGTGAGCAACTTTTTCACAGCTGAAAACAACAAAAAGTTACATAAAAACATGCTAGACAATAACATAAAAGCCCTTATTGACAACGATATGCTGCGTCAACAACTCAAATATAAACGAGTAGATGTTGGAAATACTTTATCAGAGTGGATAATATTGAAGAAAATAATGGCAACTTGGACAAGTGCAAGTTCAAAATCATTTCCACCGCTATCTTGGTCACAAATAGTGACTAATATCAAACCGGATAGATTCGCTAATCTTTTTTCTCTGATTGATTTTTTATTTTGCCATAGCTTAAGTTCGGCAGACGCGGAAAAAGGCTTTAGCGCAATGAAAAACATTAAATCAATTCAAAGAACACAAGTCAGTAACAAGTTATTAACGATCGTATAATTCCAAAAATGGAGTTACACGATCCAACAAAAGCCATTAAACACTGGCTTTTAAAGCCATGGTTTAATGGCTTTAAAAGCCATTAAACACTGGCTTTAATCACGAAAAAATAAAACTAGCATCAATCAAAAAAGTTTTACATGGACAACAAAACTCCAGTTATGTCAGTTAAAAAGTCAAAGAAAATACAGATTTTTGCTAGTAGCTATGATGAAAGTGATAGAGCTGTAACAATTGATGACGATATATAATAATTTTGAATCTTGAATGTTTTTTACCTTTCAAAATATAAATATTTTTTCTTGTAACAAATATGATCGTAATAATTACAACACATTAAAAGCAAGGATTTTAAAGTATTTGTACATTGTTTTTTATATTTGTCAACAGTTTTTTGTTGTAATCAAACGTCTATTTTTTTATAAAATGAGCGCTCAAATAAAGTTTAAAAATATAATGGCATGTGTTTTTTTTTTAAAGTAGAAAAGTGAGTTTTAGCAATAGTTTTCAATATAATTTTATTTACGCATATTGTTTCTATGCACATTTAGCCATATAACAAAAAATGACTAAAACATGCGAGAACTTCGCTAAGTAGAAATTTTTTTAAAAAATTGGCAACGGGCGACTCAAAATGTCGGCGGGCGACCAAAATTAACAAACTGATTAGTTTCAGTCGCCCTTCTGGCGACTGACCAAAAGTCCGAGTGTACACCCCTGTATATATATATATATATATATATATATATATATATATATATATATATATATATATATATATATATATATATATATATATATATATATATATATTACACACATATATGGATGCAGTAACATTTCTTTTATTCTCAACTAGTAATAATAATCAAAAATAATATAACCAACATAAGCAACCAAAAGATAATCAACTTTCATTGATTATTTTTTGGTTTTGCTAGAAAATGATAAAATGCAAATTGTATCAATTGACAAAAAGACACTTGATAAAACAACTTTCAAGTTTTTTTAGCTATTGGCATTTCAATAACAATAAAGATAAAACAACTTTAGCTATTAATATTTCAAAATTGATAAAGAATTAACTTCAACTGAATAAATCAAGTTTTTTTTCTGAGTGAATGTTTTTTTTATGAGATAATATCTTTAAAAATTCTAAATTAGGATGTCCATAATGGTAGTTATTTTAAAAGCTTACTTAAAGCATATAGAAATTAATACAATTGAACAAGCATTAACTATTGGTGTTGCACCTATAAACTATAAATGATTTGTTAACAAAATGCACTTTGATTATTTTTAAATTCTTAAGACATAACCATTCAATACACACATGAATATTTTTTCATTCATATTACAAGAATGTAATATGAATGTACATTTAAAACCACAATATTCACAAATTGAAAAAAAGGTATTTAATTGTTTTCTAACAAAAGCTTAGGAAATAGGATCTAGATATATAGAAAAAAAACTAAATCAAAATATTATGTCAGTCAGACAAGTATAAAATTACAAGAACTTTTTATCATAATGTCTAATACAAGTCAGGGCAATAACATCTGTTTTTGCCATGTATAATAACATATGTGAAACAACATCCCAAATTTCATTGATGTATAATAAGATTTTTCGAATGTAACTACACCCAAATTTTTTTTTTTTTTTTAATGCATTATTTTAACCAGATGTAGTTACACATCTGATTTTTTTCAAATGGATCCGCCAAAAAAAATATATATTATAATGCATTATTTTAAGCATAATCAATTTTTTTTTTTAATTGTTTGATAGACTGCCTGCCCAAACCAAACCCTCAGTTGATGTAGCAGCACTCCGTTGCGAGTCAGGCTATTTGTCAGTCGATGTAGCAGCACTTTTATAATATAATAATTATATATGTAACTACATATGGAATTTTTTTTTTAACAATGTATAATTTTAACCAGATGTAGTTACACATCTGATTTTTTTCGGATGTAATTACATCCGGGAAAAAAATAATTTAAAAAAGCATTATTTTAACCAGATGTAATTACACATCTGATTTTTTTCGGATGTAACTAGGCCCGGAAATTTTATTTTATTTTTAATAATGCATTATTTTAGGCGGATGTAGTTACACATCGAGAAAAACTCTTTTTTAAAATTGATAAACATTTCATTCAAGGTATGATAGGTGAAAAGTGTTACACAAATGTTATATTTTCTTATGTTCTTAACTTATAAGATTCAAATTTTTCATTTTAAAAATTTATTGTTAAACACATGCCATTGAATGACTGTGATAAAAATTGAACATGTGATGTATTTTTTTCTTTTATGTTGTCATTATTCCATTCTTTTTATTTTAGATTAATCATATGACATATTTATGCAATATATGACATTTATGCAATATATGACATATTTATGCGATATATGACATATTTATGCAATATGACATAATTATGGGATATAGAAAAATAAAATTGACTATTCTTAATTTTTTTTTAGTTTGTAAATTTGTTGAAAATATATACTTTTTATGTATTCGTTATATTTTTTATGTATTTGGTATATTTTTTTATTAATAAATAATATAACAAAACAAAATAATTTTTAAAAAATATCATTTTATCAGATACTTGCTTATTATATGCATAGAAATTTTGTTATGCCTATCCTAGGGGATCTTTGTAGATGATAAATTTTGTTATACCTATCATATGGTAGATTTGTTATACATTGTTTATATATTATTTGTATTAAGATCCCCTAGAATCCTTCGTAGCATTCTTCGAGGGGAACTTCGTAGATGGAAGGATTTTGATTTAGACAAAACTTAAAATTCATTAAAACATGGAAAACATAAAGAAACAAATTGTAGTTTTAGACAATTGTTAAATATTGAAATACTTTTATTATTAACATGATTTTTTAAATTAATTAGTTTAGTCTGCATTTGCAACACTTTTGAGGAAAGATAAAAATTCTCTTCATAAAAAAAAACTGTAAACAAAATTTTTAGTGAAACTAAAACTTATTGAAAACAGGATCGGGTCAGAAAAAACTAATATGTGCCCATATTATTACTAGAATTTTATTAATACACATAATTTTATTGTTAACTTAAAGCTGTAGTATCAAAATTTTTTTACTAAACCCTATTGAAATAGACTATAAATAACAAATATATTAATGTTAGGTTTGGTATTAACCTAACATGATCTGTATTAATATTTTTATTATTATTGGGTCACTGCTTTATTGAACTACTTTTTTTTAGATTATCTAAACCTGCCCCATGTTGCTGTCTTTTAGAGTGTACTATTTAGGCAAAGGCTAGGAGAAACAAATTCCAACTTGAAAATCCCCTACCTTAGTTGAGTAAAGGCTAGTGATAGTGTTTTGATTAAAATACCCATCTTGGGCAGATGTTAACTGCATCCAGCTACTGTCTTTTAGGAAGGCGTCCAAGGCAAAGACTTTAGGGGTAAGCGGAATCACTCTACTAACCAGTATGTGTTACATTGTTTTCTGCCCTGAATGATGAATGCTGGATCTCCTTGACTCTTCTCATAGACTTTTGCTTGTGCATTCTTGATAGTGGCTATGCAACTCTTCCTGTTGTGGGTACAGCTCTAAAACTCTGTTTAATAGTTCTGAGGCCGGCTGGTAGTGAGGTTTCCCCAACTCTGTGGTAGCTCTGTGGTTCAAATCCTTTGACTATTCTTTTATCTGCTTCTAGCATCTCTTCACTCTATCACTTTTCTCTTTGTTCTTTATCGTTCTCCTTTATTTCAAGGCTGCACTCTTTTAGATGTAATTTCTGATCGAATTGATCATGCCCTCTCTCTGTACTTGGTAAAGAGAGAGGGCATGGTTCTCTTTTGGCTCTAATGCTACTTACCTTGTTGGCACTAAAGTATATAACTACTGGATCTCTCAATCTCTTACTCAGATAGTTAACTTTGAAACATGTTTTACTGACAATCCTAATCCTTTACCTTCACTCCTTGATTTATGTTTCTGATCCTAGCTTGTGTTTAGTCTTGCCGTTTTTCTTTTTTAAGTGGTTCTAACCATGCAATGATCTCTTTAAATCTTTTATCTTATACTTCCTATTTGAACTCACCCTATCATGGCACTACTTACTACTACCCTAAGGCTGACAGAGATTCTTTCTGTGATTTTCTTTGTGACGGTCCTTGGGTTAATGTCTCTTCTTTCTCAGTTGATAAGTGTGCATAACATAACCTTCAGGCAGGAATGGAAGTTTTTATTCCTTCTTGCCAATTCCAAGTGAAGCCTCGTTCTGCTCCATAGTTTTTACCCTGTTTTGCACCTGCTATATCCAATCGTAATCATTTTTTTCATCTTTTTCAAAAGAACAACTCTCTTGAGAACAAACAGCTATTTATTATTGCATGAAATTGATTTAAAAAAGTACTGCCAGATGCTAAGCTCCATTATTCTCAGCTCACTAAATCTCATTTAAATCTCAGACGTTATGCTCTAGAGTCTTTTAGAAAATCTTCAACTGTATCATTGACAAGGGTAGGTCTAACATCTTTTACTTATGGGACTGATCTTATTACCTCTCCCAAAGATAAGGCAGAACTAATTGCAAAAAACTTTTTTTCTAATTTGACTTGTGGTCTAGACAACATTCTTGTCATAGTCTTACAAAATTGTTCTCTAGAACTCTCTTTTTACTGCCAGACAATCAATATGGTTTTTCATTCTCTTAATCTACGGCTGACTTGCTGTGACTAAAAGATTTTTATTGCACATTAGATGGAGGTGGAGAGGCTAGGGCTATTGCTCCTAATATATCAAAGACTTTTGACAAAGTTTCTGGTCTTCTCTATAAGCTTGTTTTTTATTGTGTATATAGGAAAGTTTTTGAGATTATCAAATTGTCTCTTTCTAATCGCTTTATTAAAGTCATCCTTGAAGGCCAACACTATTCTTTATTTCAAGTAACTTATGGGGTACCTCAAGGTTATATCTTTGGCTGTGTTTTGTTTCTTATCTACATTAATGATCCTCCTGACAACCTTACATCTAAAATAACTCTTTTTGCTGATGATTTAACTTTATACTCCTGTCTTGACAAAAAATCTTCTCTTTTCGATCGCTTTCGAGTTTGAATCTGATCTCACTTCTGTAACAGATTAGTACTCACAGTGATTTGGAAATTTTAACTTCAACTAAACTCAGTTATTTACTGCAAACAACTATCCTAGTACTGTCAATAAACCCCGATAAGGGGTTTAATTAATGGAAGGATCGAAATTTCAAAAATATAAAATTTCTAAAAATACTGGTAAAATATTAAACAATAAATTTTTGAACCAATTATTTTTTACAATTTACTAAAATTAACAATATGAAAAGACCATGTAAAGAATAAATATAGAAATGATCAGTTTAGAAGATTAATGAATAGACTAAACATGACCTGTTTTATGGGTTTGGACAGCTAGTTTACAATAAAACCTATAATAAACCAATAATAAACATTAAATAACACAAAAATACAATACAGAACAGAGAACCTATAATACAAGATACCAAATAAGTATTACACTTTTTTGAAATGTATAACTGAAAAACAATTTCCAATAAAGAAATTACCCATGTTTAAAAAACTTTTCAATGAGAAATTTTGAATACTTTGAAGTTACAAGAAGTATTGTATTATCTAAAAAGAAGTATTAAAGTAGAAGTGTTGTAATATTAAAATATTTTATTTGTAAAATATAAAAAGTTTTAAATAACTCAATTACCTTGAAAAAGCTGGAAAAGTTTTTCTTTTTGAATTTCACTACCAAACTTTATACACATCTCTAATACTCTCACTGTATCATGTTTATATACTACCTAAAAATTTACTGTAAGTAAAAAAAAACAATTTTCATATAGCAAAATAATAAAGATTTTTGTACCTAAATATAGTGATGTTTATGAACACCAATTTTATGTTTCACCAAGTATTTTTTTAATTTATTAGAAAATCATTGATTATTAATGAGAATCTCTTTTTTTTATTTAAAATTTGAATATCAATTAAATTTTTAAGATGATTATAAACTTGTATAATTAACAAATCTTTATTGCATTGCTAATCAAACTATTCACTGATAATTTTTTTTTAAACTAAACTTACCTCAGCTTCTTTACCCTGAACAATTTTTAATACATCATCAATTAATTTCCTTCTCCCATCTTGTGATGAACTTTTCCTATATGTGAAAGTATTGAATTCTATCATTGTTTGAATTCAATTATCTATAAAATTACTGCTAATGCTACTACAGCAAAAACAACAACAACAACTGCTACTACTACTATTACTACTACCACTAACATTACCCCTACCCTACCCCTACCGCTACCACTACCACTACTACTACTACTACTACTACTACTACTACTACTACTACTACTACTACTACCACTACCACTACCACTACCACTACCACTACTACTACTACTACTACTACTACTACTATTACTACTACTACCTCTACCACTACCACTACCACTACTACTACAACTACTACTACTATTCCTACTCCTACTCCTACTCCTACTACTACTACTACTACTACTACTACTACTACTACTACTACTACTACTACTACTACTACTACTACTACTACTACTACTACTACTACTACTACTACTACTACTACTACTGCTTCTTCTACTATTATTTTTGTTGTTATAAATCACATTAAATTAAAAAAAAAAAATTAAATTAAACTGCAAATATAAATAAACATTAAAAAAAGTGGTTTGTGCTTATTTAATTGTACTACATCAACTAAACCTTGGTTCCAACAAAAAGATTCCTTTTGGTAAGTTATTAGCAATAAATGTTATATAATATATATATATATATATATATATATATATATATATATATATATATATATATATATATATATATATATATATATATATATACACATTTGCAAACACCCCCGAAGATATAATAAACATTATAAACGTTATATAAAATATAATACATGACGCACCCACAACGTTTTATTTTCAATCAAAATAAAACTTTGCCGTTTTTTTTTTATATATATTTTTTATTTAGAATATAAATATGTTTGTTTTTCCATTTTTATCCTAATTATTTTATTTAAAACATAAATTAATTTTCGATGTGCTGTTTTTATTTTATTTTATTATAGAAAAAATAAACAAATGGTTTGTTTTGCTGTTTTAGAATTATAATAAAACTTTGCTGTTTTTTTTAAATTATTTTATTCAGAATTTAAATAAGTTGTTTGTTTTGCCATTTTTACCTACATTATTTTATTTAGAATATAATTCATTTCAAAATAATTTTGATGCTAATTAAATTTTAACTTTGTACTTAAAATGTTTATGTATTAATTATTACAAAAGTTTGGCTAGCAACTTCTGCCGATCAAATTTGATCAGTCAGATTTAATTTTAGGCGATCAAAATGTCAATTTTTCTAAAATTAGACGATCTTTGATTGTTGATCGGCTGCTATTTTGAGCGCTGTATATATATATATACAAATATATATATATATATATATATATATATATATATATATATATATATATATATATATATATTTAAAAAAATATATATTTTTTTTTTCAAAAATTTTTTAATTCCATTATTTATTACATAGAACACATTTAATTCCATTATTTATTACATAGAACACATTTCAAAGGTGGGAGCAGACATTTCAAAAAAAGTTGTTTGCTGGAACACCCTTTTTTAATTAATCTAAGAAATTTTAATCAACATCTGTGATAGACGTAAGAGGGATAAGTAAGCGATCAATCAGAGTTAATTTATTTAATAAATTATTTGTACAATTATTTTTCTACAAACAGAATAAAAATTAAGATAAAAAAAAAAAAGAAAAATTAACTCAAACCCATTAACATATTATGCAATAGTTAATGGGTTTGAGTTAATTTCAGAACCTTTGTAGTAAATAAAGAAAGAATGCTGTATCGCTTGGCTTTTACTCCATCAAAAATGTTGCGCTACATCTTGTGCTATAAAACTGTAATTTTATGAGGTCAGCATCAGGTTGGAAAAAAAAAATTGATACAAAGGTCTTAACATAAAACATATAAACGAAGTCAGCAATTTTTGCCAACCTCAACACTTCAAGGTTGGCATTGACAAATCCCAACCCTAATTCAGGGTTCAGGCCTCCCACTCCTAAAATAGGGTAAAATTTTATGATTTTGGGACAATTTTCCCAAGTTTTTTATGACTTTTTAGGACAAATTAGTGTTAAATTTAGGACATTTTAGGACAATCGAAAGTTAGGAATGAGTTTTTGTATTTAATTATTTAAATTTAAGTTTGGGAATTAACCCTTTAAATTCAATTATTATTAATATATTATTTACCCTTTGATACCCTTGGAAATTATTTACGTTTATATAAAGTAATAAATAAAATATAATTTAAACAAAAAAATCTTTAACTTTACAACAACAACTCTTACATGTAAAACCTGCAAGTAATAACTTATATCTAAAATACTAAACAAAGTTAAATATACAATAGAATCCTGTTAACTCTCACCCTGGATAACTCGGACATAACAAAACATTTTCACAGATTTTTTTGTTAAGTAATCATTTTTGTTAATTTTGTTATATTGATACATCTGTTGATACTTACAAGTCAGACTATATATCAATTTCCCTTTAAAGTCTGACTTAAAAGGATTCTACAGTATTTTTACAATTTGTGATATATATTAAAGGACGTAATAGAAACAAAGTATTAAATGTTAATAGATTTTTTTAAGTTAATTATCTGAAAAAACTGTTTTATTCAAAAATAAAACTCTAAATAAAATAATAATTCTTTTAGAGTTATAATACAACTAAATTAAAATAGAGTTTAAAAGCAAAATAGTTAGAGTTGCAATATAAACAATATAATTCTAAATTGACAGTTCTTTACTCCTTTTTTCTAAAACGTCTTGTTCATCAGCAAGCTCCTGTCTTCTTTTCATCCCTGTTTTAATTTTACACTGGGCTCACTGCAATTCATTTTTTGTGCTGTTTTTTTGAAGCAAACACTTCTTTAAATCACTATTTCCTTCAAAAACTAAATCATCAGCAACTGATAGATTTTTTATCTGCAAAAAAACAAACTTTTACTTCATGCAATAATTAAAAAAATAAAAATTAAGTACAAATCACATTACCAAAACAATTTTCATGAAGTTTAGTATAACATACCTGTTGAATGGATTCAAGAACAGCTTCTTTTTCATTTTTCAAAACATGTTGTTTTGCCTCCTCAGTTTCCTTAGTTTTTAAATGCTTATCTTCCTCTTTCAACCTGTGTTTAGCTTCCAGGTCAGCTTTGTAACTTGAGTGAGCAAACTTAACTGATTGTATAAATAACTTTGTTATTGGAATATCGAGTATGGATCCAAAGCTTAATATAGTATCTTTTACAAACCTCAAAGCCTCAATTGTCTCTGGATCAAGTGAAGTACCATGTAACTGAATAATGTGTTTGTTAATTGAAAATCCATTCTCTGGGGCACTATTTCCATGCGAAAGTGAAGAAACAACTTTGAAAAGAGATGTAATATTGGGAAACTTAGGTGAACCACTATCATTCAAAATTTTAGTCTCAAAGGAATTGATTAGTGTATCAATATCAAAACTACATAAAAGTTTTGAAACTATAGGAAGACCCGCAAGCTGAAAGGCCTTTTCCCAGTAAGAAGTTTGATTTCTCCCAATTGAAACTAATTCTTTCGAACATTTATAATAGCACTCTGGAAGAAATTCCATTTGGTAAATTCGCCATTCGCTTCGTACAATATCACAAACCTCTTCCTTTGATGAACAAGATGGAAAAACTTTACATAAGACTACTTCCAGTGATTTGCATACTTCTAGAGTGAGATTTGAGACAGCTGCTAGAGACTCGTTACTACCCTTTTTTAAAGGATCAAGAAAGATTGCATTATTTAAAATAGTTGATTCCCAAGGTAATTTTAATTTTAAATAACTAGTAAATGCTTGTTAAGACTCAAGACAATTTTGCCGAAATTTCTTTTCGCCACATGAGATTTCTAGAGCTTCTGAAAAATAAGATTTGGCTTTTGTGCCAATATCAATTAACTTTAGTGGTTTACAATTTTTTGAGTCAATCACATCAATCATCAGCAGCTCATTAATAGATTTTATGAAATTGCTGCCATTATTATTAACATACAGAAGCTTAGTTTTGATAAACTTGGACATTAATGCAACAAAAAGTTTTGACATTTCAGAGTAAATCAGGTGAATTCTTGGTTTAATTGATTGAAATGTTTTTAAAAATATTTCAAAGTCATTTGCTATGAAAGCAATAAAAGAAATATACGGCATCGATATTTCATTTTGCAAAATATCTGTAATCCTCTTATATCTTTCAGTATCTCTAACAGTTAATTTAAAAGATGTAGTTGTTGGAAGAAATTTTATAAAATATTCACAAAGATTCTTGTGTTGTTCTAAAATCTGAGAACATATTCTTCTGAGTGTCACCCATCTTGTTGAAGAATGTCTTTGAATAAAGTGTGAAATAATTTCTGTTAGATCTTCTATTTGTCGATAGTCAGATCTTCTTGCAGCAGAATGTTTAAAGAAAAAGTTAACATCAATTGCAAATGAGTCAATGTTGAAATTTAAAACATTAACTCCAGCTCTAAATGCATTATGAACTATATGAAGAGGGCATGTGCCAATTGATATAATGTTTTTATTCAAATTTTTCATTTTCTCTGATGACTTTAAA